TAAGTTCTACAGTGTTCTGACTATTATTCTAGCAGACCAAGTATTAGATGGCAAATCTATTTAAATCAAAAGTTTTACAAAAGCTCTAAATCGGATGCTAGAAAATGAATTAGATTTGATTCCGTAGTTTTGAGTTATGAACTTATTCTACGATATCGCCATTGGCAAAAAATTCTTTCAATCAAACTAGAGTTGATGATTAAAAATTCAACGAATATAACTGTTACTTTTCTTATAATATTATATTGTACTATTTCAATTGTTTTAGTGTGAATTTTTCCATGTAAGTTATTTATCATTCGTTCATGGTGTATCGACTAGTGAAAAAGAAGGTTATCTACAAGAAGAATCTATTAATTATTATTTTGATTACCATGCTTTATCGCGTGCATCATATTTTTGTGATATATGTAAATGTCATGACAGTCCGAAGTATGTATCTTTTTTCCTATGAACAATATTTTCAATAAAAAGATTTTTATTTTGTAAAATATAGATGGTTTGTTATTAAAGATAGCTATATAGTTGATATACGACCAGATACATATGAAATATGTTTTCCTATGTTAGTTGATCGTGATTTTCAAGTTTCCACTGATCTTCAAAATATTGCTAGTAATGATAGTATTAAAATAAGCAATTCACAGCGTACATTAGTTATTAATTGTCGAAAAGCACGTGATTGTGATGAATGGACAAAAAATTTATCAAATTTAACTGAACAAGCAAAAGATTTTGTCAATGAAACACGAAGTCGATTTGATTCATATGCACCTGTTCGAGAAAATCAATTAGCTTATTGGTAACATAATAAAATAAACTTGTATTAAAATAGAATGATTAATATAGGTTTATTAATGGTAAATCATATATGGAAGCCGTTGCTAAAGCACTTTTAACAGCTAAAGAAGAAGTTTTTATTACTGATTGGTGGCTTTCACCTGAACTTATGTTGATTAGACCAGCAGATGATAAAACATTTCGACTTGATAATATATTAGGAAGAATAGCTGTGTGAGTTTGATTTGTTGTCATATTTATGTTTGTTAAAATGTTAGTCTGTGAATTGTAGGATGCAGGAGTTCGTGTTTATGTAATGATTTACAAGGAAATGCCATTTGCTTTAGGTTTAAATAGTTTATATACAGAAAGAAAATTAGTTTCGAAAAATGCAAAAGGATTTATTAAAGTCAGTTTAATATTTTAATTCAAAATAACAAAAATAGCTTATTTACTTTAATTTCTAAGGTTATTCGACATCCAAATCATAATACTACGAATGGAGTACTGTTGTGGTCTCATCATGAAAAAATGGTTGTTATCGATCAAAAGATTGCCTTCGTTGGTGGAATTGATTTATGTTATGGTCGTTGGGATGATGAATATATGCGGTGAGTTATTGTCTTACATTAAACTTCATGTTGTTTTCACGTACATCATGAATCTATTTTCGAACAAGAAAAAAACGCATACATATGAGAGTTTTATATGTGTCTAGGATAGACTCTAGATATGTGTAAAGTTGATATACTGATTAAAGTGACATCAACATTTTCTATAAAAGTCAAACACAAACTTTATCAAAACTATGCTCTTTCAGCATCGTTCTATTCCGATGCTTCTCTAACACTAGAACTAGTGTGCACGATCTAGATTATGTCACTGATGTTGATAGTTAGTAGACTGCAGTTGCACACATATTGTACATGCTATTGAGAATGATTTTTTTTTATTTATTAAATTATAAAACTTTTTTTTTTAAGAAGTGTTATACAAACTTTGTCGATAGTACGATTTTAATTCATCTAACATGCAAATTATACTGTTTAGTCTAATTAGTAGACAAGTGATTATTGAATAATTATTA